ATTCATGGGAAAGTGGATTCCTTCAGGCCAAATACACTGCAGTCCTTACTGAGACAAAACTCCCATTGGCTTCAAAAGTCCTTCTGACTTGTTGGAGACAACAGGAGTTCTGCCTGAGTAAGGCCCACATAAGGAATAACTGATTAGGGTCGTATCCTTGTAGTATCTGAACTTTTCAAGACACTTTTTGTAGCCAGTTTAATATTAGTGATACAGGGATATACTGTGTAAGTGCAAGAACTCTTCTACTTCCCCTTGTATCCCCACATAGGCCAGGCACAATCCTGCACCTTGTGTTACCAGTGCACACCAATGGGGCAGGCGTGTGCCACTGTCAGTGCTTGACTCTGCAAAGAGGGTGGAGAGGAGTGGGGTTAGGCCCCGCTATCTCTCTGGACTAGCGGGGAGAGCACCACTGCCACAGGGACAAGTGCCCACTGTGTTTTGTAAAAAGGAAGAGAAGGCTCTGCTCAGAGTTACTTCCTCTCACTGCTCCAAGAGCTATTGTGCCTGTCTGCATTGCTATGTAGCCCATGCCAGACCTATTGGTCATAAGCATTAACTGTTTCCCATATTCCACTATTCCAATTAAAGGATGGATGAAAAAAAAAGGAAGAATATAGAAAAACCTTCTATGACTGAGATTGCTTAGCTCAGTGGTTCTCAAACTTTTGTACTGGTGACCCCTTTTCACATAGCAAGCCTCTGAGTGCGACCCCCCCTTATAAATTAAAAACACTTTTTAATATATTTAACATCGTTATAAATGCAGAAGGCAAAGTGGGGTTTGGGGTGGAGGCTGACTGCTCACGACCCCCGGTAATAACCTTGCAACCCCCTGAGGGGTCCAGACCCCCAGTTTGAGAACCCCTGGCTTAGTTGTACATTAAACTGCTTGCATTAAAAGAAAATTTAATTTCATTGTGGACTTGCAGCTGCTGGGGGTGTTGCTATGGATAACGGCAACCTTACAAAATTTCCTCAAGGTGAGTGATTATTTCTGAAGGGGGAGTAAAACCGAAGAAAGCATTTGAGTACATGCTTAACTTTAAGTCAGTGGGCCTTAAGTGCATGCTTAAAGTTAAGCACATGCTTAAGTGCTTTCCTGAACAGAGATACTTTCCTGAATTGGAGCCTAAGAAAGAAAATATTAACCCTGTTAATGCCTCTTGCATTCTAGTCCAATACATCATTAGATGGAGGGAGTTCACTCATTAAAAGGCTATCGTGGCTCTAAGGCTTTTCTAAACCTTTTACCCATATGTCTTCAAGGGAGATGATTTGCATCACATATTTGAGGCTGGTTCAATATTCTGCAAATCACAGTAAATCCATAAGAACGCTGCCAGAATCACCAGCCAGCAGCCCACAACAAACTCCAACTTTAATTCATGAAGACTAGCTCCTTGAGCATAAACATTCATTTCTCAAAGGAGTCTCTCTCTAGTTTGAGACTACAGAGTAAGAGAAACCTACAATGGACAATGGAAAAATTAAGCCAGACACTAAAGCTATTATTCCAGTCTTTTTCAACAGTATCTCCTGCATAAAATGGAACTATGGCTTTGCATGTTATCGGAAAGATTTAACCTTTTGGCACCCAAATATGAGCACAGGGATCCACTTGCACAGTTCACTGGCAGGAACAGGCATATACTGCATGGTGTATTGTACAGTATATTATATGCCTCTTCATATATTATACAATATTATTTTAGTTTAGCTTTTCAATATTCTTTTTTCATTTATTTGCAAACAAATGGAATGTATTGTCATTTACTGAAAAGAATTGCAACATGCCTGCCTTGTCACATTTGTGCTACATTAAAGTAATTCATTTTCTTTCACAATAAAATATTACATATAGTCCAGGACCTTGAAAAACAATTGTGGTGTAATGAAAAGAATTTTGACTACATTTTTATTTTAGATCTCTATAGCTTTGCTCTAGGATTTAGTTTCTTAGTTTAGTGCACATAATTTCTTCCAGGCCAAAAGTAAAGTTTTCAACCTGAATGAAAATGTGCTGACACCTTTATAGGAAATGTATAACCATTTAAGAGTGTCTTCAAGTTATACAGAGAAAAACATTTGAAAATGCCATAACTATTGAAGGAAATCAGAACATAAAACTATAAATAGAAAATGTCAGGATCTATCTTTGAAGCACAATTTAAATTTGATGAATGGCATGTAAGAATCTGTAACATTTTTTCCTTTTTTCCCTATGGAAACTGCATATTTATTTTTTCCTTTGTAAAATATGAACAGCGCACCATACAAGTGACTTTCAGAAGGTAGATTTACAAATGATGAGATCACAGAATCATTTCTTTGTACCTGCAATGAAAGTAGATACTGGTTTCTCCAATGGATTTTCTTTAAAAAAAATATTGGCCACAATCCGGCAAATCCTCACTCATATGAGTAGTCCAATTAAAATCAATGTGTCTACTCATATGAGTAAAAACTATTTGCTTGAGTAAATTTGTGTCCTCCAGCCCCTAAACATAATTTTTTTTATAGGAAGTGAATCATCAATCAAATATAGTTCAATTGCCTGGAATTAATCTTGTCCTTCCTTTACAACTGAGTAGGCCAAGTTTTCAAAGATGATGTTACTAATTTTGCACCCACACTTTGGTGGACACACCTGATAACATTTAGGAGGCGACTACATGGTCACAAACCTCACTTGAACTTACAAATAATGTACTGGTAATTAGCGTCTACACTTTACTGTTTGTGCCCATAAGTGATTGTGCCTGCAAAATCGTTCTCTCAACTAAGCACAGTCACAAAAATGCAGATGCTAAATCTGAGACCCCATGAAAAATTTGGTTGATGATGTTTTAACATTTCTTAGATCTCACATATGCTGATTCCAAAATATTTTCTCCTTTGCTGTCTTACAACAGACAACACTATTATTTTTTTTGGTCTTCCTCAGATATTATAGCAAAATTAGGTTCATGTTTTACTAGCAATAAAATGAAATTACTATTAAATGTTAACTATTATCATCAAATTATATAGATACAGAACTGCAAATTATAATGTTAAAATGCTGTACTTTTTTTGTTACGAAAAACTCAGAAATAAATGATCAAAAACTTTGGAGTTATGCTTTAGGGCTTTTTTGTATGCATAATACTATGTTTATATACAATGGTTTGTCATCCGAACACAGTGAATCAATTATATTTTTTCCTTTTGGTATTCCCTGCGAGTGTTTTTGAAGTTTGGGGTAGGAAAGTAAGTGTTCATGAGAAGAACAGATGCATAGTACTGTCTAGAGCCGGGCCAGACATATTATGTAAACTTCCCCACCCAGCACAGCCAACAGACCTTAGTGCTGATGTGAAACACCCCTGCTGTTTTAGTCAGAGGCCTCTCTTGTAAGCAGAGACCATCAGTCATGCCGAATTGTGAGTCAGTCTGGTGATGGAACTAAAAGATTAAGACTACCAAATTGATTTCACTAGCCACCAAAGATAAATCCCTCCTCCCCTCCCAACTGAATGATTGTTTTGGGGATTATTTTACCCCCAGATGGATTAGTTTGCATTTTTCCACAGCGAATCTAAGTTTATGTTCCCCCTACATTTCTAATCTATTTAATTATTCATTATTTATTGCTAGTAGCACAACAATGAGCTAAGCACTGTAAAAACAGCAGAGAAGACATGGTCCTTTATAGCAAGGCATTAAGCCATGAGAAAGAAAAAAGAAATTGCAAAAAATCTTTTGTGTTTTTCTTTTTTGTAGATACATTGTGTAAAGTTATACACTTCCATCTGATAAACTTCCATTTATCTCTCCCTGAACCTAGCTGCAGAGCTTGGCATGATCTATAGAAAGAGACAAATACAATTGTGTCTTGTGTATCGGTGAAAGAAGAAATTTGTTTCTGGATTCAGATTTCATAGGTGTCTCGCAGGTGGAGGGCCTAGCTCACTGAAGGCCTGACCCTCAAAAAACTGAAGCATGAGTCACTTTACTCACATGAGTAGTCCCATTACCTTGAATGGATGTACTCATGGGAGTAAAATTGCTCTCTGCAGGACTGGGCCCAACAAAAAGCTATAAGGTTGTCTTTTTTTTCTGTGTACATAGTAATTTAAGGCTATTTGTTGTCTTAATTTAATTGTAAAGAGACTTTAAAACTACATGTTCTCATAATACCAACAGGACTGTATTCATTTCAGCTTAAAAGCTTTATCTAGTCCTTTCCATTTAAGGGCCAGATCCCACAATCTTTATTTACTCTTTATTCAAGCAAAACTCCCACATACTTCAATGGGAATTTTGTCTGAGTAACATATGACTGGGGACTACAGTATTTGTCTATATATAAAACACAAACCCAAAATAAACCCTGCAAAACAATCTTCAATTTAAAACTAACAATAACATTGTACGTATTTACCTCAACATCTATTTTTGCAACAATAGTGTTATCATTTTGACAGAATCTTTGTCTAGCTATCTTTGCTTACCTGATTTATGAGTATTTTTATAGCCAATCATTGATTCTGTTATATTTCATGACTCTCCCTGGGAGTTCAGAAAACTAAAGTTTCATTGTGTGAATTGGGAAATTAAAAAATATTTCTAATGAGACATAGTGACTGAGTATTTGTCTACATGAGGCATTTCCATTTAAGTTATACTGGTGTATAACTTTACAACTGATTTAGTTAAAGTGAAACAAACCTCTGTGTGAACACTCTTAATCCAGTTTTACAGTGGCTTGTTTCAGTTTCACTTAAACCTGTCTCCAGTTGCCTTAAGCTAAACCAGAAAAAGTCCCTCAAACAAAAATAAGAGTGTCAACAGAGTATTTGGAAGCAAGTTAACAAAATCCATTAAAAATCACATCTTTGGTTATATCAGTGCAATTCTTTCATGTAGAAAAACTCTGACTGGCTTTAGAAACACAAGTAAATAGCATTTTCAGCACTGAAAAAGAAGGCTAAAAAGTTTCATATTGAACTCACCATATGTCCATCTATTCCTGGAACACCAGGCACTCCAACAGAACCCTGGTGGGAACCATAGACTTGGGTTTAGCAAGTTTAACAGACAAACAAATCATAAAACATGTCAGCTCTAAACCCAATACTTTAAAGAATTATGTTGAACACATGCTTGCCATAAGTGCAAAATGTTTTTTAAAATAATCATTGTTTGTTAATGGTAAGCGCTCTTCCCACTTGACCTTCTGCACTAATCAGAAGTGTCCTAGTGTTATAATTATTGCACTACTTGATGTCCTACTTCATTAACCAAGTTCAAATGGCTGATTATATTGTGATGTTCTGAAACCTTCCGTACAAACTAAAGAATTATAATTCAATTCCACTAACCACTCTGCATGAATTTGGAAGACTGAGCCCCCTACATTTAGTGTTTGGACCTGTGTGATCAAAAATATTCATATCGGGAACCATGTTCCAAAGCTACCAACTGGTAGCACTGATCTATCTTTGGTACTTTTAAGGGATACGATGGAATAATTCTGTCTGGCACTGCAAACGATAGCCACCCTTTTAAACTGCTTTAAACTTACTACAATCGAAACTTTAAAAACCACTATAGATCAAACAAGAAGCAGACGTGAAGAAAGAATTTAAAAGAAATTGGCACGGAAATATAACTTTGGAGGAATCTTTTTTATAAAGTCTTAGCACAAATTCAAACTTCTTTATGATGCATTGTCTTTTTGTACTAACTTGTACAACTATCATTATGAATTTTCAGTGACAATTCAGAAGGTGAGGAAAGCAGCAGTACAGTATGTGGAATGGAAAATTCCTGCTAAATAGGAAAAGGAGGAAATGTGTCATGTGTTCCAGAATGGGCCACAATAAAGGGAGACATCCTGAACTCTCAGAAGGCTCCAGCTCTTGTCTCCATAGAGCTGTGAGTCAGTCAGAAATTGTTTGTATTCCATACAACGTGGCACTGTAACCTTAGCAAGAGATATCAAACTAGCATTTCACCCTTTCCCTGCTGGGGAAGCCTTTAGGACCTGGAGGCCCCCTAAGGATGCAGAGTTGGTAGCATTGTCTGTACCAGCCCTGTTGTTGCTTGATGCAAGCAGGCCATGAATGCTAACCAGGAACTAGTGAACGCTCACTTATTCTTGCTGTTCCTCCCAAAAGACAGAGGGCAGCGCACAGGCTCAGAAGGGAGGTAAGCCATCAGGCTCTTGATAAACTGTTTTTTCAGTATGGACTGTTCCCTTATTGATATCTGCTGATTTTTCTTATATTATAAGATGCTAACATGCATAAATAAAACAGGTTTAAAATTAGCATATGCTTAATCACGCAAAGGGATCTAACATCCCTCCTCCAACCCCCAAAAAAGAGGTTTTGCTGATGTTAAGCAGGCTATTAAAGTACCTCCCAAGTCTGAAGGAGTAGTTTTAAAATGCAACATGGGGAGTAGGGCAGCTTTACAATTTCACACAGTGTCTATCAGAAGGTATATTGCTAAGCATACAACGCTCCTCTCCTTAGTCCTAGGGCTTGATCTTGCTCCTATTCATGTCAGTGGGAAAACTCCCATTGACTTGAATGGTGCAGGATCAAGCCGTTACATCTTCGTAGCTTTTACCTTCTTTTGTTTGAAATGTTTTGTTTTAACTGATGGCAAACAACCCACATTTCAAAGAATGCTGTGCCTGTGACAGTCTCAAAGACAGAAAAACAGATGATAATATCATTCCCACCTGTGAAGGATAACTATATTTTTAGGTTTTCTCTAGATGATTTTAAATCATTACATGATTTTTATTAAACATATTCGACTATATTGTTTACCTTCTGCAATCACTTTTCAAAAAAATTGGCCTTCATGATAATTGGGTCACACACTGGCAAAGTGCCATCTACTAGTTTTTATTACTGATATATTTAGTAGTTTTCTAATGGTTCAATCCCATAAATCCTTGGTTCATTCCATCAAACTGCAGCAGTCAGTTCTGATGAGTCTAAATAATGCTGAAAGCATTCACAGGAAGTCAGTTGTCAGGTTACCATAGAAATAGGAAGACACCGGCAGGCCACCTGAATACAGCCAACCAAACACCATTTATCAGCAACACCTACATCCTTTATTTCTTCTGGTCATTTTTTTTGTCATATGGCACTGATCTACTTGAGTAAAGACATGCATTCAATTTGAAACTTAATCCCCCACCTTTCACAGTGTTTTAAGTTTGGTTTCATAGTTATACAGTACTTGAATAAAGAAAATTATAGTGACCTTTTAACCTGCAAGTTCAGCAGACAGATTGAAAACAGTCTGCTCTGCATTGCCTGAATTTCCTATAATGGGCAAAATTAGAAATCTTGTGTCTCACATTATGTAGTTGTATTTTCGGAAAACAAAATTCACAGACTAAACTAACTACTTCAATGTGGTGTACAGTAGCTAATTCCATTCACCTCTCCTGCTTGCAATTTGGCACTAGGAAGTATAATCACTTTCACAGTATTGTTGTTTATACTATACCTTTTGTCCTGGAGGTCCCTGAGGCCCCTGAAAAGGGAAAATAATGTAATTAGCATAATAATGTAGCCAATTTAAGCTTAAATGACCAATTAAAAATGCCCTATTGTGTAAGCATTCTTATGTTGGACTGAAACCAGCTAATGTTTTGGACATCAAGGAAAAGTAAAACTTTCTGCTGGAAATGTACAATGGATCTTTTCTCCTCTCTTTTGGAATAGCATTAACTACACACTGAAAAAATCAGATTTTCCCCTTTTTAATCTTTTATATTCCATTCTGTCTGGTTCTTCTTATAGTTGCAAATGTGTCAGCATTTAGAAACTAAGGCTTTTATGCTTCTGATATCAGCTAAGAAATAGATGTGCCTCCACAATTAAATACCTACATCACATATTTGCTTGCCAGTGTAAGGGATAGATTTAAGCAATGAACATTTTTTGGGAAGAAAGGTACATAAACTCCCCCTCCCGCCAACACACACCTCTCTTAGTCTAGGGCCAGTAGCTGAGCAAATCGGCATAGCATTTGTGGGACTTTTACAGTGCTTTTATTCTTCAACACAGTTTAAAAACATTAACCAATTATTCTTAACACCACCCTTGAGAAGTAGGGAAGCATTATTATCCCTATTTTACAAATGATCAGAGAGGTTAATGGGCTGTTGTCTTAAAAAAAGCACTTAAACATCTGCTTAACATTAAACATGTGCTCAAGTCCCGTTGATTTCAATGGGACTTCAATGGCCTGGATTCTCCATTCCACCCAAATGGAGCTTGGCTGCAGAGGAGAGGCAGCAGGGAAATCGTGCAGCTCCTAGATCCATGTCAGTTGGTCCTGGAGGAAGTCAGACCAGCTCCAACACAACTCCTTCCTGTATCCCTATTCCCAGGCAATGGCCCAGGGGAGGTGGGGACAGCTGTTGCAGAAGCTGGTTCTGCCACCTCTTCCAGCCTTATACCCATGAAGAGATCCAAATGCAGGGGAAATTCTTTACTAGTCTGGTATGTCCATTGTCTCTGTGCTGCCTGAGTGACACAAAGCAAACGGAGGAGAACACAGAATCCAGCCCTTTGTGACTTGCCCCAAGTCAAAAAGGGGAGCAGTATCAGAACTGGAGTTGTTTAGACACTCAGCTTGCAAAATGAAAATGCTGCTCTGAAATATAGGGATGGATTTTGCTTTATAGGCATATGCTGTGAAGGCAGGACAGAGGTTGCCAAGGGACACAATGCCTCCTGGAGTTTCCTGGCACACAGTGGAAGAACAGCCATTACAACATTCCTCAAGAGAGCGAAGTGTGATCTTTACCCCATCGCTGGCCAGTGGAGATAGAGGCCATGGGAACGTCCATGGTGCAGAATGTGCTCTGTTCAACACACTCTCCCTGCCACGATAACCTTCTGCACTTTTCAACTGTTCATCCTCATAGATGTTGGATGACCACAGCCATCACCATTGCTAGCATGGATGAGCTCCAACGGTGGTGAATTATGAGTCCTAAAATTGCCAGTAGGGATGGAGTTATGTAGGTTTTACATGTGAATTTATGTGACTAACTTTGGGCATCCAAGTTTGAAAACTTTAGGTTAGTGCCTTTGGCTGAAGCTTTCACTTAAAGGCCTCATACAGAAATAGAATGTTCTCCTGTTTCACCATCAGAAACCCTATCACTTTCAGGCACTAATTCCCTGGACTAATTCATTGCTGGATTGGATTTCTCATGAATAAGGATAGCTCATTATTTAGGTTCCAATCCTGCCCCACTGAAGACTATGTGGGTTTTGCCATTGGCATCAACGGGAGCAGTATTAGGGCCTGATTGTGCAATATTCTGAGCATCCTCCTTTCTGTTGACTTCAGTGCCTGATCTTGTGAGATGCGGAAAGCCACTTGTGAGGTGCTGAGTGCTTTCAGCTTCCAATCTTCAGTGGGAATTGAGTATGCTCAGCACTGGGGAGTATCAGGACAGTGGCCGGAACTGCTATCTGGTTTACTAGGCTGGAGGAGAAGTCCTTCCAGGCCACAGATTTCAAGAAACTGTAGAGTAAGTCAGCTCTTATTTCCATTAAGTGGTTGGCGTTTGGTTATAAGGTCTGTTGGTGGCCGAGAGGGGGGAAATGCTGGATGTGGGAATGAAGGAATGCATGTTTCTTGATTGTTAATCGTGGGTGGCACCAAAGTGCAAGAAATTTCAAGGTGAAGTTGAAAAAATAGTAGGATGTTGATAGTGTGTGTGTGTCCAGTTGAGTGCAGTACATTGGGTAAGCGGTCAGGGGCATAAAAACATACGGTGATAATTTATAAGGTGTATTTCTCTCTCTCCCAGATTGAAAAAGGAGAGAAACCTTTTCTAGTGCCAGTCACCACGACACCCATTAATTTAGAAACTCTCAGCCGAATCCCTCACCCTTATCAGATTCCCCTTGTGCTACTTACAGCAATGCTACAGCTTTCCACATAGCTGTGCTAGTGAGCAAAAGGGCTCCTTGCACTTCTCCTGTGTCAGGCATACTTGATAACTGTTAGCATCCTCTAATAACTGGGATCAAGTAACTCAAATAGAGAGGTGTACTGTGGGTGGTTACATCATCCCATTACTCCTAATAGCTGATAAAAAAGGATAAACTGTGGAATAGTGGGAGCACACCATATTTTTTCCAGTTTGAACATTATTATTATTGTTTATATAATGACTGTGATATGTGAGGCACTTTATATACAAAGTGTGTGCCCTGAAGAAATACAGTTACAGTGTAGGGCTCTTAACCATTCTATTGAAACCAATGGCAGTTTTGCACTGACTTCGGTGTATTGGAGCCATGGCGCTACCTCCCTCTGTACTGGCCAGCAGAGCTGGCTAACCACAGAAAAGAGCACACATTGCAGTGCACCCTGTTAGGGGCACAGCAATTGCCACACCAAGCATACTGGAGCTCCCACTCAGACAGTACAGCTGTAAGCAGGAGAGTGGCCTGAAGGTCTGATAGAGCCCTAAATGCTTAAGCATTAGTATAGCGGAAGGTAGCATCAGAGCAGGCATTAGCTAGACTGAAGACCTGAATTTTGATTAGGGGTCTGAAAAAGGATAATCGGGTCACTTGGTACACAAGACGAGGGAGACTGATCCAGGTACATGGGGTGAAATGGAATAAGGCCATCAAAAACACTGTTACATTGACCATGCTATCAAAAATAGCACCCCTATAAACCTTGAGACATGCAGTATAGTGCCTCATACACCTCCAAAATGAAAACAATAGCATCATAACAATGAGTTCTTTAAAGGAAGCCTGTACCAAGAACCCTTAGTCCAGATTGGAAGGGTGAAAAAAAATTTGGATGACAGCTTAAAAAACCCATGGTACTGTTATAGCAAGGGTTTGGCGTGGGATCTCTGGCAAAATTTGCCCTCCCCCAACTGTGGTGCTCCTGTTCTTTGCTGACCTCCATCACAAACGTAGCTGCATTTCAGTGGTGCTCTATGTACATACTTTTAGAAGTGGTATCTCTCTATGTTTCTTCTAAGGTATCTCTCACTGTGGTATTGAAGAGCCATATGGGATCCTTCAGCAGAAAGTGACTATTTAAATAGAAGTTAATATCATTCATATATTATTGCTATCTCCAGGAATAAACTGTGAAATGTGAATTTATTAATTATATTTGGGGCATTTCTGTGTCTAGTGCCAGAGGCTTCTACTCTGCTGAAAAGTGATGTAATCTGTGACCCTGTGGCTGTGCCAAACTAGGCGTTTTCCCTAGAATTTCCCACCATTGCTACCATCACTCCAGCTCCACCAGGGGCAGTAGTAGTTGGAGCTCTAGTATAGACAGGGCTACAGGCAGGTGGTTTTAAGTATTGTGTCTAATTCCATTGGTGATTTTCACAATAGAGCTCCTGACATTGCTATCAGATGGAACTGAACTTGTAGTGGCAATTGAAAGAAATCTGAATTGAAATAGCAATTGAAAGAAAACCCTAGCTCAGATAAAGTCTAAATGCATGCAAACCCAGTGGAAGAGATGGTAAAATACTTCCTAAAGTGCTTTTTAAAATGGATTAACAGTTGTGCAAAGAAAATAGTGGATGATATTTTAAAATTAAGTATTTTATGTCATTATTAGTGTTCTCTTTATGGCGCTTAAACCCAAACCTGTATTAAACCAGGTTGGAAATTGTTTTCCTGTCTCTTCCATTGAGCTCTTACACTACTTGAGTCAGAGATTATATCACTCTTCAGCAAGATGGCTGCCTCCAGCACTAAGCTCAGAAATGCCAGTTGTAATTAAAAACTTACCCAAAAGTTTTACTCTCACAATTTATTCAGGGTGACAAGTGCTTCTTACCCTGCATCTGACGAAGGTGGGTATTCACCCATGAAAGCTTATGCTCCAATACTTCTGTTAGTCTATAAGGTGCCACAGGACTCTTTGGCGCTTCTTACCCTGTGAACTTCCAAACTGCTGAGCTCAGTTAAATGGGAGCAGTATTCCTTTGACGGATTGCCCTGTGGCATTGGGACTGAGGAAGATCTGGCACTCAAAGCTATGTGGAAACTTTGTGCAACTGATCCACTGATGATTCCTCCCCCACCCACCTTCCAGTGGTCTCCTAGGTAGAACAATGGAAATGTAGCCATTTATATACCAAAGGAGAGAACTTAGTTAAATACCAAAATTTTAGCATGTTCTGGACTTCCCTTAGATTCTATTTTTAATGAGTTGTCTACAATTTCTAACAAAGCATGTTGGAAGCCTTCCCTTTTAGAATAATATAGGATTGATACATATATATATTTGCAGTGTTCTTTAGCCAGGTTGGTCCTAGGATATTAGAAAGACAAGGTGGGTGAGGCAATATCTTTTATTGGGCCAATTTCTGTTGGTGAAAGATACAAGATTTTGAACTACACAGAGCTGAAGAAGTTGGTCCAATAAAAGATATTACCTATCCAACCTTGTCTCTCTAATATATGTATATAAGCACATAAGTAAAATATCCAGGGGGGAAATGATTTTAATTACTT